GGAACTGGGGATGTCTAGTTTAATGAAAAGAAGGACCAGGGGAGACATGATAGCAGCCTTCCAATATCTCAGGTTCTACCCCAAAGAAGAGGGAGTCAAGCTATTCTCCAAAGCATCTGAGCATAGAACAAGAAGCAATGGGTGCAAACTAATCAAGGAGGGAAGCAACTTGGAATTAAGGAAAAAATTCCTGAAAGTGAGAACAATTAACCAGTGGAACAACTTGCCTCCAAGGATTGGGAATGCTCCAACACTGGAAATTTTTAAGAAGAGGTTGGATAGCCATTTGTCTGAAATGGTATAGGGTTTCCTGCCTAAGCAGGTGGTTGGACTAGAAGATCTCTAAAGTCCCTTCCAACTGTTATTCTGTCCTGTTCTACTTCACTCCACTCTACTCTATACAGAGGAGGTATAAAGAAAATCAAGATGGATACTGCAGCCCTCTCTACGTAAAAATGGTGGGATTTCAACTCTGTGGTTGCATCCTGTCCTCCATCCTGGGCCGTTAAATTGAGAACCCCCAATCCAAATGTTCCTTTTAGAAAAAGCAGCCTGCCGGTTTAACATTTCCCTGAGTTGCTATTGTTTTGTGAACTGAATGGAAAGTGCTAATGTGATAACGTATTCTAAACCACGGATGATGCATTTTTTTAAAAAAAAATTTCAAACGATCCTTTTAATTAAGCGGCATTGAATTATTGGTGCAAGACACACGGGCTCCCTAACTCTGCCAGACAATATTTGTTCTGATGTAATAACTGTTTTGCTGTCTTCAGCACTTGATGGGAGCTTCCCGCGGGCTCTCATCAATCCTGCTGAGGAATGATCTGTCTACTACAAGGAGGAAGCTCTTCTCAACAACACCTGCAACCCGGAGCCCACTTCATCCTTTACACATCAAGAGATGGACCAGGAACGGTTGAGGGAATGAAGCACGCCTAGTTTAAAGAAGAGAAGAACTGGGGGGAAGGGGGGGATAGGATAGCACTCTTCCAATATTTGAGGGGCTCTCTCAGAGGATTGACTTATTCTCCAAAGCACTTGAGGGCAGGAGAAGTAGATCCAATCTAGAATTAAGCAGACCCCTGGCATCCTGGACATAAATTGTTTCAACTCCTACCCTCAAAACGACACTATAGGGCACCGCACACCAGAACGAGACACAAGGACAGTTTTCCCCCGAATGCCANCTTCTTCTTCTTCTTCTTCTTCTTCTTCTTCTTCTTCTTCTTCTTCTTCTTCTTCTTCTTCTTCTTCTTCTTCTTCTTCTTCTTCTTCTCCTTCTCCTCCTCCTCCTCCTCCTCCTCCTCCTCTTCTCTTCCTCCTCTTCCTCTTCTCCTCCTCCGCCTTCTCTTTCTCCTTCTCTTTCTCCTCCTCCTCCTCTCCACAAATCCTACTCCCTTCTAGCATTGAGGACGTTACTTAGTTTGGGACATGAAACATCTGCAAGAAAACAGCCAAGCTCAGAGAGCACCAAGGACTTCACAGTCCAGCCCTGAGCTTCAACTCTTCTCTCCTGTTGCGACATCTCAGTTGGTTTCTTGTTTACTTGGCTGGTTGGATGGAAGCATTTGAGACCTCCAAGGCGTCCAAGATGCTGGCATGCGCCCATCCACCCACGCAGCCTGTGGCGCGGAGGCCCCGGAGTTAATCCTTCCTAGGAACATGGGAGCGTGCCATAAGCCCATCCTCTTGCGTAAACCACCCTACTCCACCCCGGGGCTTCAATCCTACTTTCCGAAGGAGGAGGCCGGCCCTGGAAGGACTCTTCCAATTGACCCCTTACGCTCTGTGATTTTGCCGGAATGAGAAAAAAGGAAGGAAAAAAGATGACTTAATTAAAGGTTGAACAGTTGTTTTAATTAGGACTAACGGAGATTTGTAGTCTGGGCGATAAAAGGGAGAGGCTGTTTTCGTGGCACCATTTGTAGCTAATGGGCTTATTATTGGGACGGGGGAAAAGGCTCATTAACGGGAGGAATAAACACAAACGAATTAACAGCCGGCATTTTGTGCTCCCTCAGCCTGTCAGGCGCTGATAGATAGACCTGGGAGGGGGACTATTTGAAAAGGGGGGGGGGCTGACACACACACACACACACACACACACAGACACCACAATCCTTTTTTGCTGCATTGCTAATTTTACACCTCAACAACCATGTTTTTAGAGGCGATGGAGGGCCTGGAGATGGCAAAGTTTTCTAGGTCTTTAGAAGGCAACAGAGCTGCTGGACCTTTACTTGGGGGAGGAGGGAAACCACCCTTGCTGCCCTCCCCCAAACACAGGGAGCCCTCAACGTATAACAGTTTGCTTAGTGACTGTCCAAAGTTACGACGGTGTTGAAAAAAGGGAATTATGATTGTTTTTCACATGACCCTAGCATCCTCTCCACAGTCACGTGATCAAAATTTGGATGCTTGGCACCTGACTCATATTTATGACGGTTGCAGTGTCAGGTGGTCAGGTTTCGCCACCTTCTGACGAGCAAAACCAATGACCCTGTTACAACGGCAGTGATGCCCTTAACAACTGTAGCCGGAAAGGTCATAAAATGGAGCAAAACTCACTTAACAACCCTTTCACTTAGCAACATAAATTTTGGGGTTCTACTGTGGGTCGTAAGTCGAGGACTACCTGCATTGCCAGGTTAAGCTTTTTGTAAGTTGCCTGGAGTCGCCTGATGGGCAAAGGACAGCATATAAATTGCATGGATGGATGGATGAATAAAAAAACAAATAATAAAACAAGTGGAGTAAATCAATGGATCAATGGGGTCTTTGAGGAGGAGGAATTAGAGAGGAGGGTGGGAGAGGAGAAGTTCCGCCACGCGAGGGAGATCGGACTGAGCAGTTGTGGGGGAGAATTTCTGTTCAAATCAAGCTGGCAGGAACAGCCAAAACCCCAGAAGACTCAAGACACGGGAGGATCGTGACAGACGTGAACATTGGGCACTGTCTAACAAAATGAAATTCAATGGTGGAAAAAGTCAGGTTGTACGTTTGGGCAAGAAAAACAAAATGCACAGGTACAGAATAGGTGGTACTTCACTCAATAGCAGTAACTGTGAAAAGGATCTTGGAGTCCTAGTGGACAATCACTTAAATAGGAGCCAGCCGTGGGCAGCAGCTGCCAAAAAAGCCAACACAGTTCTAGGCTGCATCAACAGAGGGAGAGAATCAAGATCACGTGAAGGGTTAACTTTATAATCCCTTGGTAAGGCCACACTTGGAATATTTGCATTCAGTTTTGGTCACCACGATGTAGAAAAGATGCGGAGACTCTAGAAAGAGTGCAGAGAAGAGCAACAATGATGACTAGGGAACTGGAGACTAAAACATATGCAGAACGATTGCGGGAACTGGGTATGTCTAGTCTGATGAAGAGAAGGACTAGGGGAGA